ACTATCTCTGTACTGAGCAGAGCTAAGGTTGAAGAACTCCACACCTACCAAGTCTCAAAATTCATGCATGACACTTGTACCTTCCACCTTTTCCAATGATGCTAGCTACTTGTTTACTCTCAGTGGCCCTAGACCAGTCATCTGTGGGGCACAGTTGACGGGCCTGATGATTAGCTTAGAGCCAGCTGTACGCCTCTTGGTGACACAGCAAAGTCAAATTTGCCTACCACAAAAGAATAAAGGCCAGGAGGAAATGGGGTTTAACTCTGAAGAGCTCAAACTTGCTGTTTCTGCAGCCACTGAGTGAAGCAGAAGATGAAAACAGTGTATCTGCTGTTGAGACTATAGCAATGACCACCATTCCACAGAACCTGGCCTCTTCCCTCATTGTCCTGGCTTCCCCAGAAAGCCTGGGTAAGCAGGCAGAGGAGCCACAGCTATCTTGCTGACTATAACAACCATGCTGCTCCAGCCTACATTGGCTATGTCTAAGCTGGTATCAGATCAACTGCGTCTGCCATTGTGTCTCCTGGAACAGACGAGAAGATGCCTCTCCCTGGTTCACAGCAGGTACCAACAGGCTCCTCCCTGCAGCACATCCGCCTCACCACAACACTCAGTGCAGGAGGTGGCAACGCACCTCACAGAGTTTCACACACTGGGCAATTAAAGAGGTGGGACGTCTGGAGCTGGCAGTGCTGCTGAAATACCATGAGAGGTTTTGGATTCAGTGCCCTTTTACAGACAATTGTTATTTAAGGCCAAATCTTGCGTACACTACTCTTGGAAGTTAAACAAGACTGTTGGTGTGTGTGCAAAGAAGGCATGTCTTTGCCTTGGTGATTTTAACAATCACATTCGGATCAGATGCTACAAATTAATGACTCGTTTAACAGACAGTTTCACTTACTGAAAAATCAGAATCATTCAAATAGGTATTCCACAATATTTCATGTTAAATGGAGGGCATTTAATCCAGGAGAAAACATTTATATGTCCCCCTAGAGAGCTACTTCAGTTTTAAGAGAAGTCATTGAAAACCCACCGGCATTTTTAGTAATTACAACCACAAAGTATGAGAGCAAGAAAAAATAACTGAACTGTGTCCCAAGTTGTTCAACCTGATACAGCTTCATAGTGCATGTTACTAACCACAGTGCAAACCTCTACTTTCTGCTTCTTGTATTATTTCCTCCCTAGAGCCGTACTCCTGTGCACTGCAGAGAATACCTACAGTGCAGAATATAAAAGTAGCATGGAACAGCTAAGATGTTAAATGGAGCAGATGAAATACTACTGCTGACTACAGCTTCACATGTTTCATTAATAATGCTCAAGTAAACATACCGATGTGATGACTTCGAGGTCTTTCAGGTATGTTCGTTCTGTGGTCGCTACTTCTTTAGCAATGAAGTAAGCTTTCTCAGTTGGGAATCTCTGCAAATTGCAAACACATTAGGTTTTCATCTGCTTTTATGGAGCTGCTTTCTGTAGGAAAGAACTGCAGACAACAATCACCAAGAGAGTTACAAACTAGTGACCCTTGCTTGTGGTTACTGTGACTCATGCTTGAATGTCCCTATGCCCCCAAGCCCTGAAAACAATCCTTCCTTGCAAACACAAGAGAACAAGCACTTTCTATGGGTTCTTGAGAGACTTTTTCTCTGACAAGGTGATTTCTACAGCTCTGGGGTGCTGGTGTTCCTTTCAGCTTATTCCACACATCTGGAGAAGGACATATTCTGAAGTTAACAAAGAAATCCTTTGCAGGCTAGATAACCATTTGAATCAAATTTGACAAAACGACAAAAAGCAGTATCTGACTATTATAAGTTCCATTGTCAGGTTAAGAATCATCAGTAAAAATACTCTCAAAAAAACCAAAACCTCAAGATTTTCCCAGTGCAGCTGGACAACTTAACATTGGGAGAGAGGAAGAATTTTAGGGTAAGGTACAGATTTAAAATTTCAGGAAAAACCTCTCTTGCGTTATCCAAGAGGCAAAAGTGGTTTTGACCTCTTAATTCTGAAGAGCCAAAGGATCCCACTTGATCTTGCTCTGTGTTGCTCAGGAAGCAAACAGGAAGAGCAAAACATCCATAGATCTTTTGTGTCTACATTTCCTCCCCGAAGATCAATGGTGCAGAGGAAGAATGTGTGGGCATTTCCTAGGCAGTATACAACCCCATAGGAACCATCATCAGCTGGCATAAGCTACAGCAGTCACTGGCTGCTCTAACTTGGACTGACACAGGGAATCATGAGTCTATTAACTGATTCTTGGCTTCTCCTCTTCTCAAATTTCTCTAACGTACCTTGCTAACTCTGCACAGTGGGAAAAGAGATCTTCCTTACACATGCTCCCACTTTCCAGCAAAGCCATCTGAGCTCCTACCTTCTTCTTCCTGAGATGCTCCAAGCTCATAAGAAAAAGCAGGCGACAGAAGGACAAGAGCAACCCCCTCAACCTGCAGCATAGGAGGGACGAGCCAGTAGACACCCAGAACACCCTGGCTCACACAGAATCACTTCTGTCTTCAAAGAGCATCTTTGGATGTGATACTCCCTTATGGCTTTGCTGCAATGATGGGGCTGAGCCAAACACTCCCAGCTGAATGCTGCAGGCTGTGGCTTAAAGAGAGTATTTTCTACTCCCACAACCAAATGCTCCCAGTGGTGCTTCCAGCAGAGACAGACTGGAGAGCCTGGGTTGGACACTCCTGCGCAGGCTCAACATTGTTCCTTTTCCTTCTGTCACCTGGAAATTTTCCCTCCAATGATACACAGGAGTTGACTGTTTTGTTACAACAAACTACCAAACTCCCCTCCTTAAAAACAAGCTAGATTTATAAGAGACCTTGTCAAAACAAACATTGCAACCAACAGGACTGGTCCACACTTATCCCACACTAACCTTAGGGACACAGAGCTACCTATCTTCTCTCTGCTGCTTAAAGAGGAGCTGGGGCCCCCTAACTCCTGCACCTCGGTGCAGGAGGATGAATCCAGGGCACTGAGCCCTTAGCCACAGCAGTTCTGTGGTTCTGGCCTGACCTGTTCCAAACTGTGAGTTTGGCCTCAGGAGCACAGGGATGCTCTTGGACACACTGTGACTGAGGACAGCAGATACCAAGTGACTCAACTCAAGTTATCTGTGTGGATCTACGATGAGAAATCTGCAAGGAGTCTAGATATTAGTCACTTTGACAAACAGCAGTGGTTGCAACACCACACAGAGAAGAGAGTCAAGGCCAGCTGCCTCTGCCTTACCTTTCTTTTGACCTCTTCCTCATCATCAGTCCTGATGCATGATGGGTCATTCAGCAAAGGGCTGATCAAGGGAGATGGCTGCTTGGCATCAGGGCTCAAGTTTGGAGATAAAGACATATTTGCCACCGATGGTCCTCCTTGGGAATTGATGGAAAGCTCTGAAAGGTGAGGACTGCCAGTCAGAGAACCTGCTAAAAAAATGGTAAAAGAGAAATCAGTTAGGACAGGCTGTCTCTTATAAAGTACTGGAAAGAGTTACAACCTTAAGTTGCAGCACGTGAAATTACGCTACAAGACACAGCCATCAGCGTCCTCAAACTAGTCCAAATGGACCTGAAGCCAGAGGAACTGCATCCACTTGCATTAACCAAGGGACTGGAGTGTTCTTTTAGCTGATGAAACTGGCTGAAATTAGTGTCTCTGTAGGGAAGGGATCAATGTATACATGACTGAGCTGCAATATTTACTGCTAAACATAAAATTAATACCAAATTTTTCACCATAGTAATCCCCTCTATGAAAGAGAATAAATACAGCAATAAGTGAGTCATCCTAGGAGTGCCATTCTTTCTAGCAAAGTAGAACCTGAAAGACTCAAATCAGGGAGCTACAGGACACAAGTTAGAAAAAAATTATCTAGCGGAAGTCTAGAGAAAAAAAGATGACTTTCTACAGCAGTGTTGCTGCTAAGATCAGTCAGATCTAACATGAAGGGAGAAAACTAACAGATCCCCAATTTCTAAACACAACACAAGTATGTATATTATACCTTGCAGGTCTTTCCATGCTCCTCTGATTGTTTGGGATGGAAATACTAGCATTACATTTACACAAGAAAAGCAACACTTTTAATGCACAAAGCATGACAACTTTAGATTTTCACAGATGTAAAGTCCCATTTAATTTTGGATTAAAAATATTAAAGAATTAGACAATTAATTACACTTCCATGGATTCATATACACTACATTAAATATTATTGAAATTAGCATTTTGTCTGCTGGGAGGCAGACAGACTACTGACTGCACAAAGGAAAGAGCTTGCCAAAAATGCCCAGTGTTCTCCCAGTTATCCCCTCCTCCAAACCTCTGAAAATCTAAACCTGGTTTAGATGATGGATCTGTCATGTAGAAGAACATTTACAGTCTGTACTGTTTTGGTATCACATATTAAAATCCAACCAAAAAAATGTGACAAGCTCTTGATTACCACAGCTAATAAGCTGTCTAGTATTAAATGCAAAACACATACATCACCGTATATAATTAAGGTCAAGTACATTTTACTGTCACGTGTTTATGACCTCCCTAGATTATCATAAGTAAGTGTTACTGTTGCTACAACACAGCTGAGATACTCCAGGAAACAGAGGCACCAATAAATATAATTAGGCCAGTAGTAAAACCTATTTATTTTCTGGAAGAACTCAAGATTTATTGCTAGAATGTGAAAGTTTTCCAATTCCAAACCAGTTCATGTTTAGAAAAAAATCAATACAGTTATCAGTTCATGTAATTATGACAGTTATGTAGCCTATTATAAATCAAAGTCAAAGAAGTATTTGTCTGAAATAAAGGACTGTATTATAACAGCTAGCAAGACAGGATTTACCAACAGTTTCACACTAAATCAATGTTCAGTAACATTTGAGAAAATGCCACAGCTTGTTACACAAATGTCAATTTTATTGACACTAGCACACAACTGTATACAGTATTTTCAAAAGAAATGGAATTCATCATTGAGAAATAGTGAAACAGATTAATAGCAAGGTTTTAAGGTTAAAAGTACTCAACTCTACATTACAAAAGACATTAAGAAAAGTGGTATCACCTCAAATGTGGAAACAAAGAAATTCTGGCACTATGCCTGTCATATGACAGCGAATAAATGATTTGCACCTCTGTGAGAAGTTCACAGGCTTCATAGTCTAGAAGTTAAATAGCACCTATCTGTGAGAGATAGATACAGATATATCGAAGTATCTACCTACCTACTTATAATCCTACACCTAACTTCTGATGTACTGGAATTTTTATCAGTACAACTCAAGTATTTCAAACTATAAAATATCAAATAGACAATGAATTAAAAAGACTTCCTAACCTACGCTTGGAAGACACAACTTGGGAAAAGTATTACGGAAAGTATCACAAGAAAGTGTGCCTGGTGGCTCACAGCACTGAGTATCCACTCCACTGATTAAAGACTTGCACATCAATACATCACTGGCATTCTCAAAGTTATTTTGCAGCAGGTTGAAATGCTACATTCTCCTATTTGTTATCAAGGTGGACATCAGCAGTGACCAAATCGAACCACCGTCACCACCTACAAGCAAGAGCTCAGTTAGATCCCATCTGCCAGTATGGTGAACAAGTAAAATTAAAGGTAGGTATAAGAAAGTGTCTATATTACAAAAGGGCCTTAAAGCGTTGTTATGTCAGCACATTCTGGGGCCTAATTGCAACCAACACAGCCATAAAGATCAACACATTAGATGTTGTTCTGGTAGAGGTAGGAAACCAACTCATTCTGCTGTGAGAAAGTCAGTAAGTCATGAAGAAATGAAAATGGAAGGTCTTCTCTCCCCCATGGCCAATCAATCAGGACATGTGAAATGCTGATGGCTCATGGCAAGCTGCAACTTTCTCTTTTTCATGGAGGTGAGGAGCAAATAACCTGCATTAACCACATGGTCTTTTCTCAGTGTTTCATCTGACCTCCTGCCACAGAAGAGTGTATTCATACAGGCTCTACTCATCAATGACATACTGCAGAATATAAACAGAAGCAGAAGGGAGAATACCAATCTTACTTACAGGGTATTGAAATTCCTCAATTTTACCCTAAAGGATTCATTGATTGACAGGTAATTATTAGCACGTCAGTTGCCAGATATCAAGTGGTACTACACAGCATGTTGAGACCTAAAAGGTTTGTGGCTGCTAACATGGAATTGTCTTTTCTCATACTTCAATTGATTTTTATTTAGATTCAGACTTAGGCCATCTTTCAAATATAATGGAACTATATCCACACAAACCAAGAGACAAGTACAAAAGGATGTTTATCTAAGGACTGCTTGAGCACATCCTAAAATTATATCCTTGGTGGAGTGGGCAGGAATTAAACATGTGCTTCAATTTTTTTCTGAGTTTGGTGTTTAAGAAGAAAAACAAACACTGGTTGATGACAGTGGCAAATAATGACAATGCACTTTACCACGGTATGCCAGATTAGCCCATCAGTGCCAAAATACCTGGAGTTATTCTCAGTTCCACTGAGCTAATTTACTCTCCAGACACTGGGGAAAGCTGCTGCAGAAGGGAAGGTGACAGAAAAAGTAAACCTTGATTGAAAGCTAACTTGAAAAAAAAAAATCTACAAAACAACAGTGGTGTTTTACACAGCCGCAGGACATGAAACTATGGGTTATCATCCTAGCTTTACACGTGTCTCAGATCACTCCTCATCAACATACATGTTCCACATGCCAAGTAAAATTAAACCAGTGGTTAAAATCACATAGTTAATAGCTAGACCTTTGTCAAAACACACATCACAGTTGCTTGCTGCAATTTGGAGGCAGGAAGGCACGGGAGTGCTGCCCAGCTGGAGAGGGGCAAGCTGGGCTCTGCACTTGGCTGGCCAGCCATGATCCATCCCACCAGCAGTATCTGGCTCTTGTCACACACAGATGTTAACCCACAGGGACTAGTGCTGAGGCTGGCACCTATGGAGACTTGGGCTGATTGAGCTATACTGCTTTAAGACATGCCCACTACCAGGGAAAGAACAGTTCAAATCAGTACTTTTTCGATGATGAAGAAAGTGCCTCCCAGAGGTCAATATGGGAGGACTCCCCTCTTTGTGAGAAAGATAAATGGGACTCAGTGTATCCTGAAGATACTCCTCCTGTATTCCTCTTCTCCTGAAACTGCTGAGTAACAAACTCATGACATATAGTGTTCTGCATCTGCTTCAAAAGAAACAGTTCCCATCCCTAAACACTGTTTTAACAATAAGGAAAAGTGAAGTAGTGTTAAGAATCTCCTGGGTATGTTCCTCCTCTGTGGAGTACCAAGAAGTGAAAATTACTCAATTACGGAAACTGAGAGGAAACATCCACCATTACTGAAGGTGACTGAAATTCTGCTCGAAAATTTCATGTACAGCTACAGTGCTCACTCTAAGTCAGCTGTTAAGGGTTATATTACTCTCAAGGTTAATAGGTTTATTATTGGAAATTAAAATGTCTTAAGAGCCAGAAAAGCACCTTTTTTCAATATTTGGAACATTGCAGGGCTTACACTTTCTTCAGCCTGCTCCAAAGACTGCTCTGCAGCTCTTGTGACATCCAGATCCCAGTTATTCTACTTTAAGGGCAGATGAATGTTTTCTAAACTTCAGGCTGGTAGATGAAACCCAAGCTGTTGCCCCTTTGTCCTTTGCATTGCTGAGCGTACCACTTATGAAGCCTCTTTAATAAGCAAGCATCTGACAGAGCTCCCGCTGCTGTGACCACATAGTTAAGTCTTGCTTAATTTTCCATAGCCACAGTGGTTGCATACCTCTAACTGTGACCTAAAAGTTTTGGTCAGAGAAAAACACACAATACAAAATGACATGGGGCACAGGCAGTACCAAATGAAGTGGCAGGAGTTTTCATATGCACTTCACTGATGACTGAAGCATCTTAGATTGGAGAACAGTTTAGTAAGGGTGTCCATCCCTTCTCTCCCCAGCTGTGAACCAGGCTAAAAGAGATCCGGGATGGAGATTCTGCTCTGCTCTCCCCCTACCCAAGAACAAATACCCACTGACTTCCATGAAAGCTCAAGGGGGACCAGTTCATCAGGTTGCACTCCTCTTCCTCATTAAACAAAAAAAGCTGAAGTGCTGGATTGTGCTTTGTTACAATTAAAGATCTTGAAAAGTAGTTATACATAGGCCATAAATTTATGTACAAACATCCCTGAACACAGGATCAAAGAATTTGAGGAGGAACAGGAATTAAAAACAACTCAGGAAGGGATCCAATGTCACATATAACTGATAACCCTGCCTGGCCTGAAAAGGAATACGACAAGGACAAGGGTTTGCTTTGACTTCACAGCCTCAAAGTGCGTGCCCGTGGCAGTGAGCGGCAGGGATTTTGGGAGAACGGTGCACCTTCTCAATGAA